CTATTAAAGCCTATCCCCGACGTTACGCGAGATTTCTGGTCTTTTAGCGACAGACTCGCCGTTTTCGCCCTTAACAACATGAATCTAACATAATCTTATGTGACTAAACATAATATTTTACAAATAATTTTATGAATTCTACGGACCTTCAGTAATATTACACAAAAAGAAGCATAAATTTGTGTTAAATGACTTTACGCTTACATAAATTTATATCAATTACATAATATTATTGTCATTTATGTAATGCTACGTGAATATATGGACCTTCGAAGTTTGTGATGAAGATCAGCAAAAAATAGAACGCAGTTGTTACGCAACCATTTATTTACTGAAATTAATAATAAAACATGTTAAGGCTAAGAATAAAGTAATATATATAAAGATAAAATCTCATAAATAATATATTTAATCAAGTCGTAGAAAGTGGCACAAATCTATTGCAAAATATTAGAATTCCTGGCGTAATTTTTAAGCAGTCGGAAATTTTTCGTTCATTGCAAGTTTCTAAGTAGAAAAAGGTAAATTATGTCACTGCACGACTTTGCGCACTGTTAAAATTTTGGGTTATCATTTGAATATTACTCCTGATCCTGGCAAAAGTTACCAATACAATTTCTTGTGCTACAATTTTACTCTGTAGATGATATATTTAACTTGTTCGTATTGGTATATTTATTATAGTAAAAACTGGTTAATAAATAGAGTCGAAGAATCTGCTAATACTGAATAAATAAAAGGAAGTGGGGCACAAATAATTGGAGTTTGAGAATTTCACTAGTAGATCTCTTATTTAGAGAACAATTGTCGGTATCTTAAGTCAGAATCGGTTTGGATTTACGCATAATTAATAGATTTTTACAATATATATTAATAGTTAAGTGAAATTTAAACAAATTATTTTTTAAAGGAATAATCTTTTCCTTATATTGTTAAAACTCCTTTGATTATAACGATAAATACTGCGTGTTTGTAAATCTTGCAGCATAGATCTACTCAGAAAAATCTGAGAAATTTTATGTATATCAATAAATATGTCAACTTTTTAGGTTGCATCGTTACTAATAATTAGTTTATACACGCAAATTTTTTTTTACAAGTATTGTCATAAACCTTGGGAAAACGGAAATTACCGATGACCGAATTAAGTTTCTGGTATTGACCGAAGCCGATAACTTATTGTTACCGACTCGGCAACTTGTAAAACACATACGTACAGTACATCATGGATTACACCCTTAGGGGAACTGATTTAAAATACGTAATTTCTATTTGCTATAGGGGCTAACTCCCCTTCTAATAAATAAATTTTAGATACTGTATTCTTTAAATAAATTCTTTTTGTCTCCCATCTCCTAAAAAGTTACGCATTAAATATATTAGCATCTCTGAATAGAGGCGTGATCCAGAACCACTAATTTTTTATACGTTATGAACCATTTCTGTCATGAATAAAAATAAAATTCATGTGACAATACTTCTGGTCACGGCTGTTTATTATTATCGTTATTATGTAATTTTAAAAGGGGTTAGTAGTCTACGTATCACTATTTGTATACAGTATGAATCTCATGATTGATTGATCATCTACGTAGGAGGGGAGGAGTCCGGCCTACTTATAAAAAAGAAATTATGTAATACTGTAATAAACGGCACTCCCTAATACGTGATGGTGTTTACTAAATAAAGCAGTGTCATAGTGTCAAATGACTTGTTTCTGGAAATCTGTGGTCACAATGACGTTGTTTATCGATAATTTCAAATATCGATATAAAGATCCTTTTTTTCTTTCTCACAAGTCTCACTTTGTCTTAAACTTTTAAAAAATTGTAACCACATACAAAACAAATCTCTCAGTCTAAACCTCTAACAGAAGCTCATACAAAAAAAAAATGCTTTCTATTATTTTTTGCTTTATCGTCCTTTTTCTTTTATCAAAACTTTTTGAAAAAGCACTTGGTAAATAGGTTTTTCTCTAACCTTTTTTTTTTGATTTATTCGAACTTAAGTCTAAACTTTTTTGGTGGATATAGATTTAGGAGAAAACAAAGATCATGGAACTGGTAACGGTAAACTAATGTTTTTTTTAAAATATTATTTGAATTTTCGCCTTGAACGTATAATATTAATAATAATTAATGTTATTAAAGACACGCTCAAGGTGGAAGATGTCCCCGAAGAAATGTTAGATATACTTATTTCCTTTGTTCAAGAGAACAACAAAAAATTAGAATGGCTAGCACGTAATAAGATATATGCAGAAGCTGGAGAAGTGGCTGCCTTAGTTGAAGAGTTGGCCGAACTCATAGATGAGCAACAAGAGAAAATCGCTAGATGTATATTTCACCAACAACTATATGAAAACAATATATTAATTGAAGAATTTATGACAATAAAAAAAGCCTCAAGGTTTAAGCTCTAAGTGCCAGTTCAAGGCTTTTTTTGATTGCAATAGAAGAGTTGATACAGCTGGTTTGGCTGGCTGGATAAATGGATCTTCTATTATTTATTAATATGAAGTTGTCTTATTAACTTGATTTACTATCTGGATATATAGTGCAGACTTAATGACTTATGAGTATCTTAGTGACTTATGAGTATCTTAATGACTTATGAGTATCTTAATGACATATGAGTATCTAAATCAATTTGCAAATCAAATTCGGTCTAGTAGTGGCACGCTCTACACCAATTTACATGATGATCTTGGAAAGTTTTGAGAAAAAGCTTAGTGATTCTTATCTCGTATCCCTCTCCTCTTTATCGCAGAATAAAAAATGAATGCTTGTGATTATTGAAGCACCAAATTTAAGGGTCTACATTGTACTAACACAATTTGCTCTTCTTCAAGTTGGTAAATTTTTTTTCGGTTTACGTTACTGTTCGTTTTAAAAGACATTAATCTTAGTTCATTATTGTTTTAGGAAATTGCGGTAGTTCAAACAGTACATAAAAAGTTGAAGCGCTTTGGATAAATCGGTGTTACTTTTTTTTTTCTTCAGTTGGTTCTTAGAGAAATTCATTGTTACTCGGTTTTTACATTTTTTGGTTATTGTCAGTAGTGCTATGTAATTTGTGGCATGGGTGCTTTTTGATTTTGTGAAAAATCTTATTTGTGCGAACGGTTTCTTTTGTATATATTTTCATGATTTTTTTCTTTTTAATATTTTGAAGTGTAAAAAAATGTAAACAAAGAAAAAATAAAAATTCACTCAAAGCTATCTAATTAATATATCCGGTTCTTATTACCGTTGAGATTTGTTTTATTAAAAATTTTAAAATATAAATTTTTGTGCGTCCATAACGTTTTTGACTGTTATTTTAAATAATATACCTTATACTGTATCTGTGTCTACCAATCTAAACTTAGCCAAATAAGGTTGGTTCGGTCCGGTCCCTAATATGACCGGTCCCAATATATCCATCGGTCCCGTCCGGTCAGTCAAAAATAAACTACTCACGTCAATCATTATCGTTATACAATAATGGTTTTTAACTATTTAAAAGTTTTAATAGTTTATTATTAACCGGTCTGAAAAGACTGAAAACCGAAGGACCGTTAATCGGTTAAAAAGACTGGTTCTTATCCGGTCTTCTCAGGACCAACCCTAGTCAAGATAGAGTTTTCTCATTTAAAATCAAAATTTTTTACATAGCGAATTTTAAATTCTAGTCCACAAATCCAAAGCTGATTTAAGTATTGTTTTATTCGCGCTAATTTATCATGTAAATATAGATAAAATTTATTAAGCTAAGTAAATGATATCCGCATCAGAACATATGTGTATAAAGAATATGTAATGTATTAAATATTTAAAATAGACTATTCGACTTCATGAATATTTACTATTCGTAATCTCAAGATTGTAAGTATAAAGAACAAAAAGAACAATTATTGAATATTAAAATAAGTCATTAAATTTATCGTTGTTCGAGGTGTAGTCTATGAATAGAACATTTATTAATCTAAAGATTCAAAATAAACTATATTCTCGATGAGCATAAAAATTATTTAAATTTAAATACAAGTACCACATAAAGTGAAAATGAATCTATTCAACTAATACGTAAATAATTAAGATTACAGAAAGTGTATATCATACTTTATTCTGTGACTTTTGCTACAATATGTCAGATATGTAGTCCAGTTCTAAATTTTTGAATAAGTTTATTATATAAATTATATAATTTTTTAAAAAAATTAATATATATATTTTTGCAAAAATTATATTACTATCAATTATCACAATAGTTAATAATAAATCAATTAATAAATTACTATGCAAATTACAATAAATTAATTCAAAACTAATGTAACTCTATATAAAGAACTATGCAATATTTAAAAATTACAATAAGTAAATAAATTTTTTTTTACAAATCAAAAAATTCTAATATTATAAAAAACTTACTTTATATAATTCTATTAATATCAAATATGCAGTACAAAACTGCCTATTTCTTGATTATCTAAAAACATAATAATAAATAAATTTAATATATAAACAAATAAATTTTTCTTTAACTTAAAAGTTTTATTTAATTATTAATTATTATGAATTTTAACGATATATTTGTTTAATACTTACTGCTCTAATATGATTAATTTAAATATAATTAATTAGACAAGTTTTTGACCAACATAAAATTTCAATATATAAATTAGACTCACCATTACTGTAATGTTTACCATTACCGTATGGTTTACCGTTACCGTATGGTCTACGGTTATTGTTACTGTATTGGTTACTGTTTTGGTTGCTGTTTTGGTTACTGTAATAATTAATATATGATTTGAGAAAGTCTTATTTAATATACTTATATCATTATAAATTTCAATTATAGATTTATTTAATACTCACAGCTAATATAAATCAATTTATATATAATTAATTAATTAAGTTTTTAACTATTATAAAATTTTAATATATAATTTTATACTCACATTTACTGGTAATGCATTTGCTGATACTGGTTAACGATTTGAGAAAGATTCATTTAATTATATATTATTATTTATTTCATTTGTAAATTTATTATATAAAGCTTCAATCTAAAATTATATTCATTTAGAGAGTCATTTAATACTCACCCGCTAAAATAAATCAGTTTATATATTAGACAACTTTTAATTATAATAAAACAGAGAAATTACAAATTTTTAATCTATAATTTGATTTTATACTCACCATTAGCTAATAATTATACAGAAAAAGATTAATTTAGTTACTATTTAAATTGTTATAATTTAATTTAAAAATTGATTTATACGCACCAGCTGATAATTTAATTAATATATAATTAATTAAAGGTTTTATTTAATCACAGATTATTGTAAATTTCAATTTTTAAATCAACTTTATACTCACGGTCACCACCAGCTAATAATTTAATTTGTATAAGAGTTACTATATAATTGTTACAAAAATTTCACTTTAAAATTGAATTTTATACTCACGCACTAATAATTTAATTCGTATATAATTAATTAATTAGAAGGGTTTCATTTAATTGCAGGTTATTTTAAATTTTCAATTTATTAAATCAACTTTATACTCACGATCTGGTAATAATAATTCAGATATGATAAAATTAGACAAGTTAAAAAATTTTTATTCGATAATTTGATTTTATACTTACTATCAGCTAATAATTTAATTTATGCAAAAAAAGATTCATTCAGTTAGTATATATAAATTGTTGTTAAATTTTAATTTAAAAATTGATTTATACGCACCAGCTGATAATTTAATTAATATATAATTAATTAAAGGTTTTATTTAATCACAGATTATTGTAAATTTCAATTTTTAAATCAACTTTATACTCACGGTCACCACCAGCTAATAATTTAATTTGTATAAGAGTTATTATATAATTATTACAAAATTACAATTTAAAAATTGATTTTATACTCACGGGCTAATAATTTAATTCATAAATAATTAATTAGAAAGGTTTCATTTAATTATAGATTATTTTAAAATTTCAATTTATTAAATCAACTTTATACTCACTTCCTAATATATTATTCATGTATAATAATATTAGACAAGTTAAAAATTTTTAACCTATAATTTGATTTTATACTCACGATCCTCTAATAATTTAATTTATGTAGGAAAGTTTCATTTAGTTACTATATAAATTGTTGTTAAATTTTAATTTAAAAATTGATTTATACTCACTCGCTAATAATTTAATTCATATATAATTAATTTAAAAGGTTTCATTTAATTACGGTTTATTGTAAAATTTCAATTTACTAAATCAACTTTATACTCACGGTCACCACCACCGGCTAATGATTTAATTTATGTAATAGATAAGAAATTTTCATTTAGTTACTATATAAATTGTTAGAAACTTTCAATTTAAATTGATTTTATTGTATACTCACGGACTAGCAATTTAATTCATATATATAATTAATTAGTAAGATTTCGTTTAATTACAGATTATTTTAATATTTCAATTTACTGTATAAAATCAATTTTATACTTACGTGCTAATAATCGTTCATATATAATAAGTTAGAGAAGTTACAAAATTTTAATATATAATCTGATATACTTACTATCGACTAATAATTTAATTATATAAGAAAGTTTCGTTAAGTTATTATATAAATTGTTATAAAATCTCAATTTAAAAAATTGATTTATACTCACGGACTAATCATTTAATTTATATATAATTAATTAAAAGTTTCATTTAATTGCAAACTATTGTGACTTTTTGATTATTAAATCCACTTTATACTCACCGTCTAATAATAATTCATATATAATAAATTAGAGAAGTTACAAATGTTTTTTAAATTATAAACGGATTTTATACTCAAATTTATACTTACTTGCTAATAATTAATTTTAATTACGATTGATTAAAATCCTCATTTAGCTATAAATTATTATATATTACAAGTTATAGAAACCAAATTTATACTCACGTTCTGATAATTGAATTTATTATGTTGCACGCATTAGATAAGTTTAATTTAATCATTCATTTATTATAGATTGTTATACTCACGAGCTAAAGTTTAAATATAATTTTTGATAAAGATATTTCATTAGTTATAGATTAGGTTTTCAAAATTTCGATTTATAAAATTAATTTTATACTTACTGGCTAATAATTCATATATATAATTGCATGCATTAGATAAGTTTTATTTGATCATTTCATTCTATTATAGATTGTTATACTTACGAGCTAATAATATTATATATATTTTTGATAAAGATATTTTCATTAATTATAAATTAAATTTTCAAAATTTCAATTTATAAAATTAATTTATACTTATTACCTTGACCGTTTCTGTGTTCACTGCCGTGACCGTGATTGCCTTGACCGTATCCATGCTCACTATGTTCACTGCCATGTTTGTATTCGTATCCTTGCTCACTATGTTCA